TGAACAAAACCAGGACTAGTATATCATTTGGTGTAGTTTATCAAATTTCTTCATTCCAATCAAACATAGCATACAACTCTATATTATTACACAAACACATTTATCAAGCCAAATTTGCAGGTTTGGCCATAGAGAACATACAAACTATTCTAGTAAAATGGAAGAGAGAGTGATATGCAAGAGATTGTTTCATCAATGGAGGATGATTAAGCATAGGCATTAGGGTTTGCCAAGAGGTAGGCTTCAACAGCCTTGAACACGGCAGAGGCCTTCTCTTTCCCGGCCTTGATTTCCTCCTCCTTGATCTCAACGCCGGGTTTGGCATGGTACTTGCTTATATTCTTACCAACGCAACCACCATTGGCATCGGACTCAAGCTTCATTTCATAAGAAATGAACTCGAGCTTGTCCATTAATGCATCAATCCTATGTTTCAAGCACTTGAAAGGACTACCTTCAAGGGTAAAAAATCACATATGTTACTTTTTATATGTTTGAATTGTACTAATAAATCTAATGCTTCATTTATTTCAGCAAATTTGTTTTTCAAAACATGCTTTCTGCATTTCTGGCATTTGATATGATGAAAAATAAAAATCAATAAAAAAAATGTTTTTCGTAGGAAAATATTTTGCCAAAACAAAATGGGGCGTAAGATTCAAACACAGCATTAGTGAAGTTGGTAGCTAGCCTTCGGCAAAGTTCATTTGCTTGATACTTCCAGGGCCGCCATCTCCTTGGATTGTTTCGATGCTCCTGATAGCCTGTGGTACAATCTTGGGGATGAGGTTATCAGCATCAAGGATCAAGGCCTTGAACAGCCTCGGCGCCGGGACGGGGCTAGCGATGTCCTCGGTGAAGGTAACAACACCCATTGATCTTTCTTTCTTGTAAGCTCAAAAATGCCCTGAAAATAGAGAGAGCAGAGAAGTGTTGGAGGTGGAGTGAGGAAGATGGTGAAGAAGAGGGGTAGGTATTTGTAGATTGCCAAATGGAGTGGTGTAGTGTTTGGCAATACAAAACTAATAGCAATTATAAAAACAAAGCTTAAACCACTACTTTTTCGGTGCAAGACTCTTTGGATGAGAGGTTTTGAAGCTTAGTCACAATTAGATCAAGATGGGTAATGAATCTAAAGCCAAATTGTCAGATCTCTTTGATGAGATGATCTCATGCGGTTGGGAAGATATCCTCAATTTTCACCGTCTTGTATAAAAAAAGCCAGAACATTAAAAGACCCCTCTTTACTCAAAATAATATTTGATCCTTGAGTGATAAAATAAACTAAGTTATTTCAAATTAGACTCTTGTTTGGCTCGAGAAGCAAACTAGTTAGGTTTTTACATATTTTGAAACTTAAACAAGTTACTATTTGACTCAATTCGGTTCAAACCCTATCTGTTTCACACTCTTAATGCACTCTCAACTAAAAGATGTGGTGAAATCTCAAAACACGAAAATTTTGTGGCACGATTTTTTCACTATACCTGCATTGGAACAAAGATTTTGAGAATAAAGAAAATCCTATGCCAGGCCAAAGAAAGAAAGAAAAAACCTTCTAGAAAATGTTTTTAACTAACATTGTGTTTGGTTGAGAGATTTGAAAAAGAAAAAGAAAAAGAAAAAATATGTGAAATATAAGTATATTTTATTTTTATTTCACCTATCTTTTCCTTTTCTAAATCCCTTCTCAAATTCCCAACTAAACACAACGTAAGTGTATTTAGCAAAAATTATCAGGACAGATATTTGGGAATGGCAGGTTTTGAACATGATAAGAAATTTCTACTCCATCTTTATCAAGGGCAGTGCAAGCCATACTGCCTTCAACCAACAAATTTAACAACATCCTGGTATTAATGATTCTAACAGTATCCTTTATTGCAGCAAAAATCTGGTGTTCAATATGCCCCACAGTAGCAACATAGAAAATTTAAAAAAGAAAGAAAGAAACAAGAATACACCCAGCAAAAGATCAACCGTCCATTTGTTATAATACATATACCGCATATCTGTGACATAAGATCTAACCATTCTTCTCATAGAACTCAGAACCAAGCTCTGAAGACCCGGATTCCATACCGTACATATAAATTTATCGAGTCAAACTTAAGGGGGACAAGTAATGAACAAAACCAGGACTAGTATATCATTTGGTGTAGTTTATCAAATTTCTTCATTCCAATCAAACATAGCATACAACTCTATATTATTACACAAACACATTTATCAAGCCAAATTTGCAGGTTTGGCCATAGAGAACATACAAACTATTCTAGTAAAATGGAAGAGAGAGTGATATGCAAGAGATTGTTTCATCAATGGAGGATGATTAAGCATAGGCATTAGGGTTTGCCAAGAGGTAGGCTTCAACAGCCTTGAACACGGCAGAGGCCTTCTCTTTCCCGGCCTTGATTTCCTCCTCCTTGATCTCAACGCCGGGTTTGGCATGGTACTTGCTTATATTCTTACCAACGCAACCACCATTGGCATCGGACTCAAGCTTCATTTCATAAGAAATGAACTCGAGCTTGTCCATTAATGCATCAATCCTATGTTTCAAGCACTTGAAAGGACTACCTTCAAGGGTAAAAAATCACATATGTTACTTTTTATATGTTTGAATTGTACTAATAAATCTAATGCTTCATTTATTTCAGCAAATTTGTTTTTCAAAACATGCTTTCTGCATTTCTGGCATTTGATATGATGAAAAATAAAAATCAATAAAAAAAATGTTTTTCGTAGGAAAATATTTTGCCAAAACAAAATGGGGCGTAAGATTCAAACACAGCATTAGTGAAGTTGGTAGCTAGCCTTCGGCAAAGTTCATTTGCTTGATACTTCCAGGGCCGCCATCTCCTTGGATTGTTTCGATGCTCCTGATAGCCTGTGGTACAATCTTGGGGATGAGGTTATCAGCATCAAGGATCAAGGCCTTGAACAGCCTCGGCGCCGGGACGGGGCTAGCGATGTCCTCGGTGAAGGTAACAACACCCATTGATCTTTCTTTCTTGTAAGCTCAAAAATGCCCTGAAAATAGAGAGAGCAGAGAAGTGTTGGAGGTGGAGTGAGGAAGATGGTGAAGAAGAGGGGTAGGTATTTGTAGATTGCCAAATGGAGTGGTGTAGTGTTTGGCAATACAAAACTAATAGCAATTATAAAAACAAAGCTTAAACCACTACTTTTTCGGTGCAAGACTCTTTGGATGAGAGGTTTTGAAGCTTAGTCACAATTAGATCAAGATGGGTAATGAATCTAAAGCCAAATTGTCAGATCTCTTTGATGAGATGATCTCATGCGGTTGGGAAGATATCCTCAATTTTCACCGTCTTGTATAAAAAAAGCCAGAACATTAAAAGACCCCTCTTTACTCAAAATAATATTTGATCCTTGAGTGATAAAATAAACTAAGTTATTTCAAATTAGACTCTTGTTTGGCTCGAGAAGCAAACTAGTTAGGTTTTTACATATTTTGAAACTTAAACAAGTTACTATTTGACTCAATTCGGTTCAAACCCTATCTGTTTCACACTCTTAATGCACTCTCAACTAAAAGATGTGGTGAAATCTCAAAACACGAAAATTTTGTGGCACGATTTTTTCACTATACCTGCATTGGAACAAAGATTTTGAGAATAAAGAAAATCCTATGCCAGGCCAAAGAAAGAAAGAAAAAACCTTCTAGAAAATGTTTTTAACTAACATTGTGTTTGGTTGAGAGATTTGAAAAAGAAAAAGAAAAAGAAAAAATATGTGAAATATAAGTATATTTTATTTTTATTTCACCTATCTTTTCCTTTTCTAAATCCCTTCTCAAATTCCCAACTAAACACAACGTAAGTGTATTTAGCAAAAATTATCAGGACAGATATTTGGGAATGGCAGGTTTTGAACATGATAAGAAATTTCTACTCCATCTTTATCAAGGGCAGTGCAAGCCATACTGCCTTCAACCAACAAATTTAACAACATCCTGGTATTAATGATTCTAACAGTATCCTTTATTGCAGCAAAAATCTGGTGTTCAATATGCCCCACAGTAGCAACATAGAAAATTTAAAAAAGAAAGAAAGAAACAAGAATACACCCAGCAAAAGATCAACCGTCCATTTGTTATAATACATATACCGCATATCTGTGACATAAGATCTAACCATTCTTCTCATAGAACTCAGAACCAAGCTCTGAAGACCCGGATTCCATACCGTACATATAAATTTATCGAGTCAAACTTAACAAATTAACGAGTTCCAAAAATTTGTTAAAACTTGTTGGAATGACCGAGAGCACTGGGCTACCCCCTTTGCTCGGCTGAAGTGAACCCAACCCTTAAATGGGCAAAAAATGTGGCGGTGGTGGTATTATTTCCCCAAAAACTACTACTAGTAGTCACCCCACAACATTCACATTTAAGAATATCTTAGCGCTGTGTTTGGTTGGGAATTTAAGTAGAGATTTGGAAAAGAAAAGAGAAAATGTAGCACTACAAAAAAAATTATTTTTTGCGACGGTAAAACGCCGTTGCAAATACCCCAAACGCCGTCTCAAAAGGTTTTTGCGACGGTAAAATGGCTTTTTGTGACGGCAAGTGGGGGTCGCAACAAAAGGGGTTGCAAAAGGGTTTTAGCGACGGCAAGTGTCGTTGCCTTTGTTTTTGCGACGGGAAAATGCCTTTTTTGCAACGGCAAATTTCTGTCGCCAATAATGGATGAAAATCTTAATTTTTTGCAACGGCACAGTATTGCCGTCGCTAAAAGGGTTTTTTGCGACGGCAAAATTACCGTCGCTAAAAGTGTATTTGAGACAGCAACCTGAGCCGTCGCTAATGACTATTGTCGACGGCAATGATACCGTCGCTAAAGGCCTTATTTTTCAATTCAATTCCATACCTTTTGCGACAGTGTAAGTACCGTCGCAAAAAGCCTGGTTCAATTTTCTTTTTGAGACGGGATGTTCTGCCATCTCAAAAAAAAAATTTAAAAAAAAAACCTGTATTAAAATTATTAAAAATATAAAAATAACCTGTATTAAATGAAAAATAACTAAAAAAAATCGATAATTACATAATAATATAAATACATACATAGACAAAAGTTGACACATGATGAAAATTCATAATGTTGTTCCATTCATAATAATACATAAATAAAAATTCATAACAATAAAAATTATACCACTACATAATATCGCATAATACATACATAATGTTGTTCACAAATTTAAATAACATAAATCAAAATCAAATTTGTAACATGAACTGCTTCAATTTGAACTACAATCTCTCTCTTTCTCTCTCTCCAAGTAAAACATCCACCAGAAACCGAATAACAAGAAAATTCAGGAGGCAAGAAACTATTCTCCATAACTTTTAGGTGAGCTAAAAAAACTCCTGGCAGCATCTAAACTCATTTCTTCATACACCTACATGAGTCATTATTTTATACAGATAAATAATAACAAATAAAAAAAAGTCCAATCAGGAAAGTAAAATAATAGCGTTTAATGGAGGACAAATTTTATGATTCTTCGATAGTAGAATATGCTTACAAGTTTCTTGTGAATGCTTCGAAAAGCCTTGCAAAATTGTTCTGCCTTTGCTGCACCCACCTGTAACATGTGCACCAAAAGTTAGTCGTTATGCCCATTTTGTGTTAATATTTTCTTTTGCCATTTTCTGACAAGACCTCAATTAAGAGCATGCCCAATCTCGGGTTTTATTATTGTATTTGGACACCTGGCTAATGCCAGCCGAATATCAAATAACCTCACATCCACTATAAGTAAACTTTGGGGAATATGAGCTTGCCACATGAATGAATCCCCAAAAATCCCTTCTGTCAGATCTCTATCCCTTGTTAGCTTAATAAGATAAAACTTTTACAAACCTCATATTAATAATAGCAGAAGCTAAAATGGCAACTAACTTAGGGCTAGGCCATGAGCAGGCCCAAGCATGATCTGAACTTAGGTTTGGGATTAATGTGAAGCAAAGTGTAGCACAATTTGCAAGACGATATGTCATTGTGCCGTTTAATGCTTGTACTTTTTCCAAGACGACATGTTCTGCTAAATCAAAGACCAAAATGCACTATCACTTCTCAACCCATGCCCTTTTCGGTTGTCTTCTTATTCATGTTACACCTTAGTTCTACCATATCCCCACCATCAAATTTATTGGTCTTGAATGCAGATGAGCAAATCATCCCAAATCAAGCATTTTTTCATTATGTTAAAAACCCACCCACTCAAAATGGTTTCATTTCTACTTTTATAGTTGTCTCAACAGTCCTCCACCTCAAATTCCCCTCCTTAAACAGGATCAATTTGTGAAAATGTTTTCTGACTACCTAACATGATATCAAATAGAATAACCTGGCATGTAGATAAATTAAATAAAAAAAAGACCCAACTAAAAGGGTGTTTTGTATAGATGCTATAATTCACTCTCATTACGAATAATCAACCCATACATCGAAAACAATCATTATAATTTAGCTATGTTGGTTGACTGTCTTATTTGATATTCATTATGAATATTAAATATGCTATTACGATTTTTTGAGTAAACATATCTCCAAAGAGATGAAAAATATGAAATGGAAACTCTAACCCGAAAATTGAAGCAATAATAGTATCATCGAAAAATTATATGCTAGTTCTCCTGAGATAAGAATGCAAATTTCATATAGAATGCTTATGTTCCACACTAAAAGTATAATGAAATGTGGTTGTCAAGGAGAGTTAACTTCAAAGCAAAAAAAAAAGATTGCTATTTATAATTTCCATGCACACAGTGATCACGCATTAAAATTAATTAGTGTGCTGTGAGTATATTTATTATGTTCATAAAGTATGACCACCACAAGCATTCTTACCTTCTTTTCTGCAGCCATCTTTAATTTCGCCCAAAATGAGAGTTATTGAAGAGTCTTTCAATATAGTAAAAAACTCATGGCCATAATAATGCTAACCCTCCATACATCTTTGACGAGTATGAAGACAAAGATCCATAGCCATTGTCTCCCATCTATCAAAAGAGAAACAACCACTCAAATAAGGACCACAAGAACAGGGGTGGAGTTAAAAAATTAATTAAGTGGACAAAACAGTGAAAAAATTAAATAATAAAATACTGACATAAACACCAATGCAGGAAAAAGAGCAGACAATAAATTTATTTAGCACATAAATTTCAGTAGATACCAAACAATTTTTCAAATTAAAAAATTCAACTTTTAAAGTTTTCAGTAGTTAATTTTCAGTTTTAGGAAACAATGCCTAAGTAACAAAATTAAAACAATATAGAAAAATAAGCAAGCACATTGCCATAAATGTACCAAAGAAAACTTGTAACTGGAAAAAAAAAATGAATAACAGGATCTAAAAATATCAAATGACCATAACACCAAGGAAATAACAAAGAAATTAAATGCCACAACATTGACATACTGATAAAGATCCATATCCATAAAGGCTACCTGAAGAAAGCATGCCTAAGCCATCTCATTTATGATTGAACCACTTTTTCCAATTATACAACCAATAACTTTAGATGGAACAAGAAGCCGGATAGTTACAGTGTCATCATCTTCGTCATTTATCTTCCCTTGCAGCAATAAAAACCGCTTCAACTGCTATGGATTTCATGTCATCCATGGACTGCCAAAAAAAGTGGTGCAAAAATATCAAGACACATGGAATGAAGAATACCCTCAACAGCAGGTTTCCTAACCCAACAACTCAGAACATGATCCAACATTAAATAAATGGATACAGATAAATGATGGTATTTAGATGCCATTACATACAGTCATCAAAATAAAAATAAATGGGGCACAATAAATGAAGTAAAAAACAATTCTTCAAAAAAATAATGTTGTTTTGCATCAAACACTCTAGAGTTGCAAGAAACACAAGTCGTGCCTCAGCAAGTTAAAAAAGTCATGACACAACCATCAAGTGTTAAATATTTATAAACACATGTTTTATTGTAAAGGTATTTTACAAACCCATGATAGCACGTAGAGATGATCCAAATGTACATATATGTGTGTGTGTGTGTGTGTAGTAACTTGATCTGGGTCACAATTCCCCAATCAAAGTTAAAAACAGTAAGGAAATCAAGAGGCAGAGCAGTTTCTCCCTGTCCTCCTGCTACCTTTTGAGCACTTGACAAAGAACTCAGAATATAAATAAAAAGGAAGTAGAAAGAAAGCTACACCTCTGTTGAGGTGATGGAGATGATACATTCATCACGATCAGCCTTATCATCAACCTCAATACGAGCACCACTGGCCTGTCTCACACTTTTGATTGAACCCCCTCCCTTGCCAATAACGCGACCAATCATGTCAGAGGGGCACAACACTCTCACAATTAACTCCTCTGAAATTGCAAACGATGCTCTCTTCCTTTGTAGTTTGTATTGACATTTATTCATTGGTAATGGCAAAATTTACATCACAGTAAACAATAACCCATACAAAAAAAAAAATATATCCAGGCTACCAAAAAACCAAAAGAAAAAAAGCAAAACAACACAAAAAAATTGGTTACAACACATTAAACAAAACAAGAATTCTTGAGAGAGACAGAAAGAAAACTGTGAAAAGACAACAGTTTTAGACAAACAAGGTTACAACACATTAAAAAATTTTAAAAAAATAAAAAAATAAATCTAGCAAATAGTTTATCGGATACAAATCCAAAGAGCGAAGAGTCTTTCAATAAACAAAAAATACAAATTATAAGAACTTATTATAAACCTAATTCGCGAACGCTGATATACTGTTGGAAAACCTAGAAAACGATCGTACCTGCAAATGAGAGAATCGAATTGAACAAAAACCCTAGGCGAAGGGAACACAAAGTTGCAAAACCAGAGAGTGAGACTGATGAGATGAGAGAGTGAGGGAGACAGATCAGATCAGAGAGATATCTGATATATATATATATAAAAAAACAACGATCGGGGCGAGAGAGAGAGAGACAGAGACAGAGATTGAGAGAGAGAGTTTACCTGTGAGTAGATCGACGATGCGATGATCGGTGCGATGAGATGAACAACAAGAGAGTTAGAGAGTGATCGGTGCAGATATGAAGAACAACGAAACGAGAGAGTGAGAGAGAGAGAGAGAGAGAGAGATATTTGGTAGAAATTAGGGATTTTGGTTCTAAGAGATTGGGGATTTTGAGGGGCGCGAGAATGGAAAAAAATGGGGGAACTGAGCGGGCGGGATTAGGAATAATAATAATAATAATAATAATAATTTTCATCATAAATGAATATTTAAATAATAAAAATAATAATAATAATTTTCATTTTCATCATAAATGAATATTTAATGAATGAAAAATTATTATTATTATTTTTTATTTGGTAGAAATAAGGATAATATTTTAATGAAAAATATTTTCTATTAAGAGTGATGAGTGAGAGATAAAAATTATTATTATTTGTTTCATATTTATTTTAATGAATAAAAATTATTATTATTTTTTTATTTGGTAGAAGTAGGGATAATATTTTCCATTAAAATAAAGTAATTTTTTTGTGGTCAATGTGACATTTGCAGTAGTAGTAGTGGTAATAATGGAATGGCATTTGCAGTAGTGGTGAATTTGGTAGAGAAGATGGGTGGTGAGAGAGAGATAAGTGAGAGACAGATAGAGAAGAGAGATATAGAGAGAGAAAGAGAGAGAGACAGACAGACAGACAGAGACAAAGTGATGAGCAAGAGAAAGACAAAGACTGACAGACAGAGAAAAGTGATGAGTGAGAGAGAGAAGAGAGGTAATATTTTGTGGTAGAGAAGAGGAACCGACAGTAGTAGTGAAGGTGGTGGATAAGAGATGATGATGGTGGTGGTGGTGGTGGTGGTGGTGGTGATGGCGAAGGAGATTAGTGGTGAAGTTGTGGTAGTAGTAGAGTAGAAGGAGTAGCATGGATGAAAGAGAGGTAATGGTAGTAGTAGTAGTAGTGGCAATAGTGGTAGTGGTGGTAGTGGAGTGGTGGCGATGGTAGTAGTAATGGTAGTCGTAAAGGTGAAATGGCGACCGTGGTAGTAGTGATGGTAGTGAAATGGCGTTTGCAGTGGTGGTGAAGGTGGTAGAGGAGATGAGTGGTGAGAGAGAGAGAGATGAGTGAGAGGCACAGAGAGAGAGAGAATAGATGAGAGAAGAGATAGATGAATGAGAGACAAAGAGAGAGAGAGAGAGAGACAAATTGACAGTCAGAGAGAGAAAAGTGATGAATGAGAGAGAGAAAGAAAAGAGAGAGAAAAAGATGAAAAATGGGTGAAAAGAGAGAGACAGAGAGAGAGAAAAAAAAGAGCAAAAAAAGATAAACGAGAGAGAGATAGAAAGAGATGAGCGAGAAAGCGAGAGAGAAAAAAAAAGAGAAAGAGAAGAGAGACAGAGAGAGAAGATAGATGAAAGAGATAGAGAGAAGAGAGATGGACGAGAGACACAGAGAAAAAGAGACAGACAGACAGACAGACAAACAGAGAAGAGTGATGAGTGAGAGAGAGAAAGAGAAGAGAGACAGAGACACAGAGAGAAAGAGAGAGACGGACAGACAAAGAAGAGTGATGAGTGAGAGAGAGACAGAGAAGAGAGACAGAAACACATAGAGAAAGGGAGAGACAGACGGACAGAGAAGAGTGATGAGTAAGAGAGGAAAAGAGAAGAGAGATAGAGACAGAGACAGAGAGATAGGAAGATGAAAAAATGGGTGAAAAGAGAAATGTTCAAAAGAGTAAGACGACGTCGTTTATAGTGGATCAATAAATCGAGAAAAAGCTCGATAAATAGAGAAGATTGGAGTAAGAGAGTGAGCAAGGCGAACATAGTGAGGGAGAAATAGACAAATAAACAAGCAGAGAGAGAAAGAGAAGAGTGATGAGTGAGAGAGAGACAGGGAGAGAGAGATAGACAGAAAAAGAGATAGAGAGAGAAAGGGAGAGAGAGAGAGAGAGATAGAGGGAAAGATAGAAAAAGAGAGAGAAACAAGAGATGAGCGAGAGATAGACAAAAAGAGAGAGAAATAGAGCGAAAAGAGATGAGCGAGAGAGAGACACAGAAAAAGAGAGAAACAGAGAGAGAAGAGAAATGGGCGAGAGAGATAGAGAGAGATAGAAAGATAAAAGAGAGAGAGAAAAGAAATGATAGAGATAGAGAGAAGAGAGATGAGCGAGAGAGATAGAGAGAGATAGAAAGATAAAAGAGAGAGAAAAGAAATGATAGAGATAGAGAGAAGAGAGATGAGCGAGAGAGACAGAGAGAGAAAACAGATGAGAGAGATAGAGAGAAGAGAGATAGGCGAGAGACACAGAGAGAAAATGAGAAAGAGAAACAAACAGACAGAGAAAGAAGAGTGATGAGTGAAAGAGATAAAGAGAAGAGAGAGAGATAGAGACAGAGAGACATGAAGATGAAAAAATGAATGAAAAGAGAAATGTTATATCAAAAGAGTAAGAAGACATTATTTTTTTAAATTTTTTTTGAGACAGAAAAAGTACTAGAATTTATTCAAACCATTTTGTGACTGTATATATATGAAGCTGTCTCAAAACCACAATCACTATGCTAGGTTAGAGTTTTCCAAAAACTCTTTTGAGAAAATTATACTTTCTTGTTTGTCGTGTTATATTGTTTTTATTGAATTTTTTTAATATTTTAAGTATTTTTTTTAATTTTTAGACACACCTAACATAAATACACCTAAAAATTATAAAAAAAATTATAAAAAAAATCTTTTAAAAATTCACTAAATACCAAAAATACAATAATTCAATACATTTTTTTATATTTTTATCTATTTATTAATTTTTAAAAATATTTTTTCATAATTTTTTTTTAGATACATCTAAGTAAGGTGCATCTAAAAAAAATATTTTAAATTTTAAAAATATTCACTAAAAATTAAAAAAAAAAACGAAAGTCACTTTTTGCGACGACAGAAAATGCTGTCTCAAAAAAGCAGAGTATTTGCGACGACACCATTTGCCGTCTCAAAAAAGCAGAGTATTTGCGATGGCACAATTTGTCGTCTCAAAAAAGCAGAGTATTTGCGACGGCAGAAAATACCCTCGCAAATGCTCTCATTTTTTGAGACGGCAAATTGTGCCGTCGCAAATGCTATGCTTTTTTGAAACGGCATTTTCTGCCATCGCAAAAAGTGACTTTTTGAGACGGCAAGTGTGCCGTCGCAAATAGTTTCGTCTCATATACCCACTTTTCTTGTAGCGTAGGTGAAATGTGAATAAAATATATCTATATCTAGTTTCACACACCTTTTCTTTTTTTCTTTCCAAATTCCTTCCCAAATTCTCAAACCAAACACAGCATAAGTTTCGAAGCAAGGCCTAGGACAAGTAATACTATGGCCTCGTTTGTTTTTAGAAGTAGAATGGAGGGGATTGATAATGAGGAGATTAATAATGAGGTGATTAAGTAAAATTGTGTTTGTTTTGATGATAGTTGTTAGTGTGGAGATTGTTAAATTATTTTTATATAAAATAAATATAAAATAATAAAAAAATACAAAAACATTAAATATTAATGTTTTTTAAAAAAATACCCAACATGTAAAAAAAATAATAAAATTCCATAAAAAAATAAAAAAAATAAAAAAATAATTTTTACTTAACAAAAAATACAAAAAATTAAACATTAATGTTCAAAAAAAATGTCTAACATGTAAAAAATAAAATAAAAAATAAATAAAAATAAAAAATTTCTAGTTCGGCAGACTATTTTTCTAATACCAAGTCTTGGAGGCTCATCCGAATCCTCTTGAGAAGACCCATCATAATCCGGAGCTCACTATCAATCTCCTCCCCATCTCTCAAAACAAACACAATGTTAATAGGTCTCACCTTATTACCAATTGCAATCCCTCATTTAACTCTTCAAACAAAAGGGGGTATATGGAGTGCGGAGTCATTTTCTCAATCAAGTCTTTCCTATCTTTTGATATATGGATATATATGTTAGATCACTTTCCATTTGGGTGGTAGGACTCAGGAGCACAAATGTTTCCTAAACTCAAAAATCACCACTCCACTTCTATTTGCTCCCAATCCCTATCACATTCAAGCCTTGATGTTTACTTATAACATCATAGATATAAACCTTAGTATAAGACTACATTTTGGTACACATGATGGAGCAGATATTTTCCCCTTTGAGGAGAAGGAAAATGAAGCAGCATTGCAGAGTCAAGGGAGGGACTGTAGAAGGGTTAGGTGGTGGCAGCTGACGCTAAAGAGGGACGGGGTTTTTTAGAGAGGGCAAGGGCTGGAAAGATAGCCAGAGTTGGTGGTGATTGTAGATGAAATTCAGATTAGGATTGAGAGGTCAAAGATGGGAATAAAATAAAAAAATTTATGTTAGAATAAAATGGTAATTGAAAGAATAAAAGATTAATTTTTCTCATTTTATTTATGTTAAGAATTTTGGAAATTTTCTTCTAGCTGAATATATTATTTTGAAAAAAAGCTAACAACCGTTGTTAAACATAATTGAATCTTGTTTAAAAAAATTATTTTTTTTAATTATCAATTAAATAAGATGAAAACAAACTCTCTTTTTTTTTTAATTTTATATTTAATTTACCATTTCATTGATATTTATTTCCATTCATTTATATACTTTTTGTTTTTTTTTGGATAAATTACAAACATATCCCCTGAGATTTACTTAAATTACAAATTATTTCTTGTAATTTTGGAAATTACATTATGTCTCCTAAAGTTTTTAATTTTATAACAAATAAGTCCTTTTATTAATAAGTCATCGAGTTAATTAACAATTTTTAATAATATTAAAATTTTATTTCAATTAATAATTCAGATAATTTTATTATTGTATAGGTAAACAATTAGAAATTTCATGTTTTCAATTAATTCTGTTAAATGAAAAATCCTGATAGGGAGATATTTATAATTTTTTTAAATCATAAAGGACAATTCGTATTTTAAATAAATTTGAAGAGATGTGTTTGTAATTTTTTTTTAATTTTCTACGAGCATAGCGTGGTGGGTGAGATGCAACGTTTTCAAACTCGGACCGGACAGGCCAGTTGGACCGGGCCTTGTTCCGGTCCGGTCAACCCCCTAAACCCGGAGTGGAAGCAAAACTGGTGACCCAGTGGTCGAACCAGTAAAATCGGTGACTCGGACCGGATCGAGAGGGTCGGACCAGTCTGGTTTTTTTTTTTAACCTTTTTTTTTCTTTTCTTTCTTTCTTTCTTTTTTAAAATTTTGACTAAAAATTCTTATTTCAAGAGTCTCCTCTCATAAGGAAGAGTCTCATTGAAAGCTTGAGTTAAGAAGATTATGAAAGTCTATTCCTATTTATAGGAAAATATTTTTCAAAGAGAACCTACAAAATTCTATGTGAGATTCAATCAAATTATTTGAAACATATTGATTGGAGGGAGGGTTGAAAATTTCATTTTCTTCCAAAATTAAATCTAACATTCAATCAATTTGTTTGGAGAGAATGTTTAAAAAATTTAATTTCTTTAAAAAAGTGAATTTTTTTATCAATTATGACTTTATTAAATATTATTAATAAATACTATGCAACAATTTTTATTTTTATTTGATTATTTATATATATTTTTATTTATTTATAATTTATAGTTATATTTTTTAATTATATAATATTAATTATGACTTCACGGTTCGACTACTTTGACTCGACAATTGAACCGGTGACCCGTCCACTCGGTCATTTTTCCAGTTCTCACCCATCTGATTTTGAAAACATTGGTGAGATGTATATTTTTTTAAAATCTTTTAATTTTTTTTTATATAGGGAAGGTGTACGTTAATAACTACAATAAAACATTAAAAAAAAGGAAGGATCCCGCTTGTTTCAAGTTGAGATTAAGATTAAATTTATTCAGTTCGATTCATGGGGTTCATTTTTTGGGTCTTTTTTGATAATCTGAACCGTTAATGTATAGAATTCATCGAGTACTACATGCCTGTAAAAAATCACATTGATCGGATATCAATAGCTATGTGATCAAATCAGTTTTGTATAAAAAAAATAGACGGTAAAACAATTAACGGTTGATAAAAAACTATTTTGTTCACATAGCTATCAATATTCGATCAACATAATTTTTTACAAGCATATAATACTCAACGAATTCTACACATTAAAAAATTCGAATTATCAAAACGAGACCCTTGATAGACGCTCACGAAACCAAGAGCACGGTCTAGACTGGACCAAACAACTGCGAAAAAGAAAAAAGAAAAAGTGAGGAGTGTAGAATTCTCTAGAATGAGGTACATGGCAATGAAGCTAGACCCCTCTTTCCTTTCAAATTTCAATTCAACCCCTCGACTCAACCCAACACAACACAATCCCTTCCTTTACTCGTTCCACTTTCTCGACTCTTGTTCTCTTCCTCTCTCGCCAAAAACTCAAATCAAACCCTCTCTTTCTCATCAACCTCAAAAACCCTAAAAAAAACACACCATACTTGAATTTCACATAAACCCCTCAAACAAAACCCAATCTCAATCAACCTCTACAAACATACATATACATAAATTTTGACCCTTTTTGGGGTTCTTTTGTTCCTGCAATGTCGGTGTCCGGAGGGGGTCGGAATCGCGGCGGCGATGACCGCTTCTACAGTCCGCCGGCGATGCGTAGGCACTACCAGCAACAGCAACAGCAACAGCAACAGCAACAACAATCGCAGTTGAACAATCGGTCGAAATCCAAGTCCAAGCCGTCTTCGGTGGAGTCCGAGAAGAGGATTGAGTCGGAAGATTGTTCATCGTCGTCGGCGACGGTGGCTCCTTCGCTGTCTTCCTCGTTTTCGCCGCCGAGAACCGCCAATTTGACTAATTTGGATCGGTTTCTCGAGCACACTACTCCGATTGTTCCAGCTCAGTATTTCTCTAAGGTATACTTCAGATTTTGTTAAAATTAGGGTTTGCTACAATACCCCCTGCTATTCACGTTGTTTGTCTGGTTGCTGAGAAAATAGAGAATGATTTTGGTATATTTTTATGGGGTTGTAACTTTATTGAAATGTTTAGAGTGAATTGGACCAATTAATTGTGTTGGATTTAGTCTCATTTCTAATCAAATTGTTTTGGGACAAGTGTTTTGAAATTTTCAACAGACATGAAATGGGTGAAAATAATAATATCCAAGCAGGGAAACCATTCTTTAGTGTCCTCATCACCCTCGTTGCACCCCCACCTCCCCTGTCGCCACCCCAGCCCTTCCACAACCCTATGCCCATGGTCCACCCCTTTCAAGAGAGAGAAAGAATGTGGGATTTGGGACATGGAAGTGAGGATGTTTGAGGGAAGACAATTTTGTCTTTAAAAAAGGCTTATTCTTTTGATATTGTTTTACCCCATCTTATGTTTTCTGAAATTTCTAAAAAATTTCTCACTGACTTGATAAGGTTTTCTCCATTACCAGTGATTTGATATTTGCCCTATTCCTTTTCTCTTTATGTCTTTACTAATGTTCTTAAAAGCTCTAGGCACATTGAGGCACTAAGGTCTCCTACAGCCTCAGCATGAGGCTAAAGGCGAGGCTTGCACCTCACCAAAGTGAGGAGGAGGTTCAAGTTGTAGAAGATAAGCAAAGTCATAGCAAAATTTTCAACATAACCAAATAGTTCTAGAATTCTAAATATCATAAACTAGCATTCATCATTTCAAAAACCATAAGAATAACATTCAACATCTCAAAAAATCCTTAAACATAACATATAACCTTCTAAAAATCACAAACATAACATCCAACATAAGTCATAAAATATCACATTCACGTCCATCAAAAATTTTATTTTTCCTATCTGTCCACCCATCGCACATTATAGAACATCCTTACTTTGCCCAATCCTATATGTATTCCTTCATCAATTTATTGACATGATTCACTTTTTCCTTGAGATAAGGAACTCGAACTGTTTGGTAACTTGGTGGTTTTAAATCATTAGCCCTTCAATAAGTTTTTGTTGTGGGCAATGTGTTTTGGTTTTTGACCTCTGGTTGCTGAAAATTCTAGGGAAAAGGGTAACTTTAAATTAAATTCTGAATGTTTTGTTTTAAAATAATGTTATATGCACCAATTGGTATACCAATTAGTATACTAACATATGATGTGGCATAAATTTAGAGGTTTTGGGTATTTGTTATTTGTATAATGAATGGGGTCAATAATAATGTCATAACATACGTTGGTACACTAATTGGTATACCAATTGATGCATGTAGCATCACCATTTGTTTTATGCTATTTGAGTGTTAAATGATGAAGAATTTACAAATGAGCAGCATCATTGTTTTGGGTGTAATCGGGTAAAGATGTTTGATTTTTTGGATCCCAAAATACTGAGAACTCTCAGAAGTCTGTAATATCTTCTTCTCAGAAATTAGAAGCAGCAATTTAAGGTTTCTTCACTTGGTTATTGGTTTTGTATTTGTTATCTTCCGTTTGGTTGATAATAATGAAAAAGAAGAAGAAAAAGGACGTTATACTACACTTTATATTATTCATTTTTAGAGGATAGCTAGTGTGCTAAAATTGAATTTTATGTTTAAAACTCTTAGCTGAACTAAGCCAGGTAGTTATGTTCAGCTCAGTTGATTTGAGCTAGTTGTTACTTGGATCTTACCCAGCATTTAGTTTTCTTTGATTTCATGTTGCAATGTGAGAATTTAGTTTACTTTGGATCTTTAAGATTGTGATCTGTAATTCTTTTCTTATTTTTTGTGATCTTTATATGAGTATGATTTAATATGGTATTTACAGACAAGCATGAGGGGATGGAGACTGAGTGAAGACGAATTCCATCCATACTTTGTCCTTGGGGATCTCTGGGAATCTTTTAAGGAGTGGAGTGCATATGGGGCAGGAGTTCCTCTTGTCTTGAATGGAAGCGACTCTGTTGTGCAATACTATGTGCCATACCTGTCTGGCATTCAGTTGTATATAGACTCATCAAAGCCCAGCATGAGGCTAAGGTGAGCTCTTATATTCTGATTTTGTTTTCTGTCTCACTCTTCTTTTTCCTTTCTTTATTTTGATGTGGAGTTTGTTACACTGATATTGTCTTGAAAGCCTTGTTGAGTGCCAAAAGTGATTACTATTTTTGATTCTCTCAAGGGGTGTATTGAACTATAGGGTTGCACTTCTGCTAGTTCAATCATGTAATTATGTTAGTTAAGAATGCTTCCATTTGAGCTTTTTTCTATGTCCTTCATTTGGTTACTTCTGTGAAATATGTGTGTTTTGCTAAATGTTGCATGACGATTTATGTGATGTATGCATATGGTGGGATTGTCAATCAGTCATTGTGTGCCATAACTCTTGTTCTAGGTCATGAATAACTCATCAAGTGATTCAGACACAACCTGCTATGCAATTTTCAAGTGAATGTCAATTGGCAGGGAGTCGTTTTACGTACCTGTGTGCAAATGGTTGTCCAACAAAGATCTTATTTTCTAGTTCAATATTTTTTCATCAGTCAGAACCATTAATTTAGGAAAGGTAAGTCTTCTAGCAAATGGCATTGGTTGAGCTTTTACTCTCATGATTCACGAATTCCTGTTCGTATCAACTTACGTTCACCATCCTTTGGACCTGTTACTTGTTACACAGTTGTTGTGACTATTTTGATCTACCTGTTGTTAGGATTGGAATTAGGAGGTTTACCAAAGAAATTGTGATGGGGACAAGCACCTTGTCTTGAGGAGATTGAGGGCAACTTGAGAGGAATGACAGAAAAGAGAGCTTGGAAGAAGTCCTTGAAAAACTCTACGATTGATAAGAGACACACTTGGGCCTTTTATAGGAGTTTTAACATGTGAAACAGTGCAAGATGTGTCATGTTTGGGGGTCAGTTGAGAATTAGTAGCCATGAGTTGTTAGATGGTTTTCATAGCTGAGCTTTGATCTACCTGTTGTTAATCGGATTGGAATTGGAGGTTTAATAAAGAAAAGGTGATGAGGATGAGCACCTTGTCTTGAGGAGATTCAGTGCAACCTGAGAGGAGTGACAGAGAAGATAGCTTGGAAGAAGGCATTGAAGACTCAATCATTGAAAAGAGACTTATGTGGACCTTTTATAGGAGTCTTAACTGCAAAACAGTGCGAAGCCTATGTGTAGACTTCAAATTATAGCCCTGTAGGATTTTGAATACCTTTCACTGGTGACTGGACCCCACAGCCTCAAGGCATTATCCTTACCTTGACAGGTGCTTACTCAAGCATTTCTAATTAGCCCATGAGCCTTTCCTCGACTAAGTGCTATGGGCAACCCTCCTCGGTCTGCAACCATTTGCTCGCCTCACTATCCCTGCTCCAATAGCAATTACTCCTGCTTCATGAGCACATTACCTGCTCCATGAGCAGCTACCCCTGCTCTGTGACCGTGTGCTTGTGTCACTACCGTTGCTCAGCATCAGGCACATTGCCTCGCCTCACCTTGCCCACTTAGCTATCACTTTGCCCTTGCAAAGATTCCAACTGTAAGATGGCACCCTGAGATTGTATAGCCTGTCTATGTTGGGAGCCGGGCCTAGGTACCCCCTCAGGGTTAGTGCCTTGGTCATGGGATATCCAAGCCATCCATGACCCTGCACGGGATCACCCCGGACTTGTGGATTGGCTGCTATAGTTGAGGGATCATCAAAGTTGCTTGGCTCACCCCCTCATGGTTGTTCCACTTTGACCAGTCTTGGACATGAGAGAAAGGCCTTTACACAAAGACCAAGATTGACGGAGTCGTGTGATACCTTGGGAAGTATATCATAACTACCCACTGCCACAACCTACACAATTGAGCTGGCCTCCATGGCCTACTCTTCTAAAAAAAAATGCCTATCATGCTTTGTTTTTTTAGTTCTCTTAATGTTGGAAACAATTATTGAAAGATCCACTCTTTGCTAATTTTCATATTCCATTTTGTAATACAAATTATAAATTATCTTGATTACTGTGACAAGCAACTGGACATGACTAAGATTGGGCTTGGAGGTGCTTGCTTTTTGGGTAAGTAGGAGGTGCTTGCTTAGTTTCAAAGCCAGGAAAGATCCTAGACTACTGGGAGCAGGATGTGATGGGTTTGCCATAACCACATGAACCCTATCTTAAACCAGTTTTGCATATAATCAAGTTTGATCTATTAACTATACACTAATTGCAATGTATTTTTTTCCTCATTTGCGACAGCCGGCCTGGTGAGGAGAGTGATGCAGATTCATCCAGGGAATCAAGTAGTGATGGCAGCAGTGAATGTGGTGCTGAAAGAGGAGCCAATGATGTTCAAGGTTCATGGAGCCAGCAGAACACTATGCGTGCAACTACCCAAAGTTTTAACAGACTTTCATTGGGAAATAATCCTGTCATGGGATCAACAGTTGATGAAGGCGAGATTAGAAACCCTCCAGGTTTACTTGTGTTTGAATACTTGGAGCACAATCCACCATTCAATCGTGAACCATTGGCGGATAAGGCAAGTCCTTTTATTCTCTAGAAGATTAGCATGTTTTTTTGGCTTGCAATGCTTTCTTATGATCATAACATAATACCCACATGTATCCAACAGATTGCATTCCTTGCATCTCAATTTCAAGAACTCAGAACCTACAGAAGCTGTGATCTAACATCTGCAAGTTGGCTTTCTGTGTCATGGTAAGCCTTCACTTTCTTGTCTTAATTTTTTCGAAGCATGTCTCTTTAGCGCATTTTTTAAGTGTAATTCTTAAAGACTTGTGACTGAACTTTTTGGCCTCTACTCTTGATTAAGGTATCCCATATATAGGATACCCATAGGACCAACTCTACAGAATCTGGATGCCTGCTTTTTAACATTCCATTCGTTGTCAACACCCATCCGAAGTATGCATCTCTCTCTCACTCCAAATGTATCTGTATGTTTATGCTTTCCTCTGCGTCAATCATTATGTGTTTCCCACGTTCTGGCAGGTACCAGCAGTGATAGTCCGGATATTCATGTTTCGACTGCTAGGGAGCTGCATGGTGCTGGCATGTCCTTCAAGCTGTTACTGCCCATCTTTGGTCTTGCTTCTTACAAGTTCAATGTTTCGGATTGGAATCCAAATGGAGTTCAGGAATGTCAGAAGACGAACTCTCTATTGCAGGCTGCTAACAACTGGCTCCATCTTTTGCAAGTGAATCACCCTGATTACAGGTTCTTTGTGTCCCACAACTCAAACTGGCGATGAGAGGAAGAATCTTTTTAGTGAAAAACTTTTCTTGGAAAATGCAAGCTGAACAATTCGCCCATGTGCTAAATACTCTAGCATAAACTATATTTGAGTTGCATTTTAAGGTTTTGCTTTTAAAATGTTGATGGCCAAAGAAAATATGTTGGTGAACCAGACCGATGCAGTTATATAATGACACGAGAAGTTGCATGATATTTGTATATTTTAGTATGTTAGCTAATGTGCTAAATATATTTTAGAATAATTTTAACAACAGCATTTTGGTGTAGTAGAAGTTTCTTCTCCTAGTGGTTATGATATAATTTGATTTGCAGTCTATCTTGAGTCTAAAAATTACTAATTGAATCTGTGTTCAAGTGCAGTGGCTACTTGCCCCCCCACACTTTTATCTCTTTAGATAATGCAATTTCTCATTTATTGTTGCATCCTCTGGTATAGAAATGGCTAATGCCGTGACCCACTATTATATACTTAGGAATGTTGAGATTTTTACAACATCACTTCAAAATCTGGTATAGAAATGGCTTATGCCGTGACCCACTATTATATACTTAGGAATGTTGAGATTTTTAAAACATCACTTCAAAATTTATCCACACACCACTAATGTGTGAGGGAATCGGATTTTAGTTAGTTGATTCTTAAATCAATTGCACAAATGTTTTTAACTTGAGCTCTTGTTGGGGCAATCTACAAATGTCACAACCAAATATTAGGACTCTCAGGAAGCTCGACTTATGTTTAGTTCATTAAAGTTTTATTTAAACAAAAAAAATTATGTTATATACTATAAAATTATATAAAATCTAGCTTGATTAGTTCAATTGAAACTGAAGTAAAAATCAGCTCAAAAACCAAAAGAAGTCTGCTTGGCAACATTTTTTTTAAGTTATTTTTTCAAATCAAATTTATTAAACAATTCATTACTTTACTTGACTCGACCCGACCTAACCTGTTTACATTCTCGTGTTGTTCTGTATACAAAATATCCTGGCTTGAAATGATCCTACCATGCAGCACATTCAGATGAGACTTGCTTTCAAATTATCTGGAGAAGACAAGAAAAAAAAAAACAAAAATCGAAAAAGAAAAGAAAAACTGGTGCAGGTAGATTTGCAATAACATGATCCGGGAAAATAAAGCAGTTCCACTTTTCAATAATATAAACATACGTTTTACATACAACTGGGAATGCAATAATGTTCCTGTGTCTCAACTACTTCCACCAACAAATGTTTAAGAGCATTCTCTTCTTCCCTCAACTACAGTTCCAGTAATGACATATAATAGCATCATCAGAGCTACAAAACTCCCTGAAACTCATAAATTGTCATCCAGAAAAGTAGACAGCAGCAGCCCTTGGACAAACCCACACTTCCTAGCCCTCTCTTCTTGATCCTTGTCTGACAATGGAGTTTGTTGGATTTTTCTGTAAGTAGTAAATTGGCATCAGATTCTTCTTCTATTTGTATACAAAACCATGTTCATCAAACATAATGGCACTTCTGTGCTACCAATAACTACAAGAATGAAAGGTTGGGCGTGTGTGTTTGTTGTAAAGCTTCAAACAAAATAAATTAGCGCAGAAAGGGATAAAAATAAGAACAGTAGAGACTATTTGAGTATATACTACATGTTTGTCAAAAAAGATTTGATCAATAGGTATATTGAATGGACATAAATTGCTATTAGTTTCGGGACACACTGCATTTTTTGGTTTTTTCAAAATTTAATGGTGCCTCTCAGAATTGAAGTCAAACCAGCTTCATTTTGGCATTAGAATATGCAAAAAAATGGAACTACATTCAAATCTTTTGAACTATGGTGATACACAGAATTCAGAATAAGGAATTTTGTTTCATTATAAACTTTTGACTCTGTGTGGTCTGCTAAAACTTGTTAAAACAAACAAGGTAATAATAATATGCATCACACTTAGCATCCTCTAATATAAGAATTCAGGCCTATTGAATTATTGTGGGAGAGGGGGAGAATGATTGTGTGTGAGTTGCACAGGAGAGAGGGAGATAGGTTATTTTAACATGAATAAGCATCCACTTCCTCAAATTACTTTCTTTCAATTCATGGCCAACTCTTTATTACTACAAGTTCAAGTTTTCACATCTATTTCTAATAAATCAACAAACAAAAACAACATAATAATCGATGATCAATGCCAATTCTCAAACCTTTTAGAGGAATCCTCAATAGAGCTTTCCTTCACCGAGCTTGCTTCCACTGAAGATTTGGGTTTTACTCTTGCAGGCTCATCAACCACAGGAAGATTGTACATAAATGAAGACAACAATGGATCAGGTTCTGTACTGGAGGATGAAACCAAGGACTGAAATCCCCCAAGAAGAGATTGTATATTTCTTTCGCGCAGTTCTTTTCTCAATGTAGAAATTGTCAAATTAGATCCACCTTTACGGAATCTCCTCTTGCGCTGCACGTAACTTCTAGTCAAGGAACAGCATAAATCTTCATGAAACCATTTAAAGAAACTGAGACAGACAAAAAACAAAAAACAAAACAGAAATATACATGGAAAGCCTTAAAGAGAACGAATCTGGGATAATGAAGATGCACGATGCACATGATTAAAACCCGTTTCCTATGGTAAGGAAAACACGGGGTTACTTTTTTGTATAAAATAAACTTCTAAAGGAAAGTCAACCAATTAAAGTTCCAATAGCACTAGTAAAAAAGAATCTGCGATAACAAAGACTCCAAGCACACCACAGAGTAAGCAGACACGTGGTTTAATTCTTCTAGGAAATAAATCCAGACGGCAAACTGGCAAAATCCGGTGAATAGGCAGAATCCCGAGACGGCTAGACAAAATTGTTTGTAAACATGTTTCCTAATCGGGCTCAGGAAATTTTTTTAGTCAGTACTCAGTTGTATGATGAAACAACAATTTCTAAAACCCTATACCGGGTGGTTTTCTGTTGAGACAAAATACAGTCTAACCATTATCAATAAAACCGAGTCAGTTATTAGTTCAATTATGGTATCTACACACAGACTTTGAGCTCATGTTTTGCAAGGCATCCCCACAAGCACTAGGGCATTCCACCAAATCAAAACCAAAACCATAACTGCAACATAGAAAGGAACTAACTTATAACTTTAGACAACTTGAACAAAAAGGATATCTTTAAAAGACTTCCATGTTGCACTGTCATATGGCCAACCAAATCCATCCCCACTCTTTTTGCACAAACTGGGCATACCTGCATATATAAACAATTTAATTAGCATAACAGTGGAAACATACAATTTGTGTAGCTCAGCAAGCACAAATCACTTTTTAGTAAATAGCAAAAATGGTAAATGAATAACAGTCTATACAACAAAACCTTTATTGTGGTTCTGCAGTTTGTAACTAATACTTTTTGCAGTAACTATTAAAAGATAATGCATATCTGTTGAATCTTGCTTATACATAGCCCAAATGCATTTTCCGTATAGATGCATATATGCACACGTCTGACATAACTCCCGTTGTTTAAGGGTAAGAGGTTTTTGAATGAGGTGCTTAAGAACAAAAGGTTAGCTGGGGGTTTGGTTCGGCAACAGACTAGTGATACTGTAAACATTCCTTTGGTTATCTATATATGTCTTCCAACAGAAAGATATGCATCAACTCCGGTTCACCGGTGAAAATGCATTCCAAAGGGACAAATAAACATTGTTGTGTGGAAACCTCAATCTTTGGGGGGTTGTCCCCACAATGTAATTGGGGGCCCTCACTTTGGGGAATTCATCTAGATACCAAAAAATATTAAACTAAGGTTCCGTCAAGCAAACAGGAAAACCCAGATGCCAACTTCTGTAACTCATTCTTGCAAAGCCATCTTTTTCAGAGACAATAACTAAATAATTTCTCAAATCAAAATGTCACTCAACAAAAGACTATATGATAATAATTGTAAAGAAAACATGTCATAGTTGAACAAAAAGATAAGGAATGAGTGTGCATATATGCTTTGCTAAAGAAACAACAGGAATTCACATGTAAATGAATAAAAGAAAATCCAAACTAAAATCAGTAAAAAATAAGAAAAAATAACACTTGCCCTCAATGAACACATTATCACTCTTTAAAAATAAAATAAAAAAATAATAATAAATGGATAAAGCAAACAGCTTTAAAGCACCAATCCCCATAGAATTTAGTAGGGTTTCATTTTATTTTATTTTTTCACTTATAAAATTAAACAAAAAATGATTACCCCATTCTTAGCTTCAACAGGATGGGCTTCATCGACATGGCAGCAAAGTCCGACAACGTCGAATTCCTCGGCACAGAACGGGCAAAGAAACTCCGGCCGCGACTCATCATCACCATCGACATCACCTCCTTCGTGAGCTGCACTACAATCAAAACCAATTTCACGAATTCTGAGAAAAGAAAAAAAACCAAACCCCCCATTTGAATCCCACAAAAGAAATTTTAACAAAGATTGTAATTTTCACAACAGCTTCGAGCTGGAAATCTGAATATCCCAAGTTCGTTTTCTTTATCATAAGATTTTTCCCGGGAAACAAACAGAACGTGAGTAGCACTGAGACTAACCAGATCGAGATTGATATCGCCTGGAGGCAGCTAAGAGACGCGTAGTCCACAAATCAGAGTCCATTTTCGCTTCGATTGTAAGGAAAGATCGATAATTTTGCTTTAAATTACAAAGATTTGCTCTATGCATATTTCTAACTAGCTTTTGTTTTGGCTTGGAGTACACTATAAGTTTTATGCTTTAGCATACTTGAATGAGTGTGAGTGTTGCCATGATAGCATGCTTGCCATAAGGCTATGTGCTTAAGTGATTAACTGCATGAATGCCTATGGATGAAGGCTTTGTTGCTTGAATTGGAACAATTCATCGAATGTGAGTTTTAAGCCCACTTTGCAAAGTGGCAAATCATCATGTTTTAAGCCCACTTAAGGGTGGCAAATCCACGCTTTAGCCCACTTGAGGGTGGCACTTTCAAACCATTTTCAAAAACAAACATGAGTTGATTTGTTCTAAGTCTTACGACTTAGTCTATACTTGTGTGTGTGTCGCATAGTAAAATTAGCTAATAATCAGAATAAGAACACATATGTTTATAAAACAACATATCATGATTAGTAGAGGCCGATCCTTTGATCGGACGAGTGGGGGTGCTCATTTCAGGACCTTCCCCTCTCGTACCCAAGTTCTCGAGCCGAGGCAGATTTGGTGATGATGGACACGTGGCCTTTGGCACGAGTTCGGGTTTCCTAAATTTCCCAAAAACAAAATATTTAGGTGGCATTATTTGACCTAGTTTTGGCATTATTTGATCTAAAATCGATTTTCCAAAATGATTTGCCGGATTAGAATCTTTGGTGTTTATCAGTTTCACATTGTACTTTGTGAGACTAGATTCAGAACCGTGATAGGAGTCCGAACTATAGGACAAATTCGAGCTCTCCCAAAGGGGGCATGATGAAAGCCAAGTCTACACAATCCGACATCAGCCACGATGTCCTAATTGAATACCTTACCCACCCAGTCATTTCACCAGCCCAACAGAAGGTTCACCTGCTCCAGGACGAGCCTATCCCATGGGCCCACGACATCATCCCATTCTTAGAATAGGGAGTCTTACCAGAGAATAAATAGCAGGCCAACAAAATCAAGGCTCGATCATCTAATTATGTCATTATCGTTGGCATCATGTACAAATGGGGATTCTCACGACCATACCTCAGGTATTTAAACGCTAACCAAGCTGATACATACAACCTGTAGAGACACACTCTGACAGCAAATATCATGCAAGTAAGAGCCAAAACACCCCTATGTTGGGGTAGGGTTTCCTTGTCCTATTTTGTTAGGAGCTAGGGTTTCACTACGCACGCAGCGGTTTCAAACAACCTACAACCGGATGAGCAACCTGTCCTAGTTTGGAATGGTCACTATGGATTCCGATATGCACTAGGTCGAATGATCAAAAAGGGTGCCTCGGTGAAAAACCAAGGTTTGTGTTCCCATCGTAGCAGAGCTCGTAACCGGTCAACCTTATGGCACGCGGCCTCCGGCTAACCATTCAGGAATAGCAAACGGCGAACACGGTGTCTTAGGTGCACCAATGCAAATGCAATGCAAAGAGACACATAAGTGTAATCAAAACAAGATATCATAAGTTCAAGTCAAGTTCTCTAAATTCCCAGCAGAGTCTCCAGAAACTGTAGACCACCCCGAGAACTCCACTCTCCACGCTGCGAGGGCGTGAATCGCTTGTGTTCTTAGCTACTACAGTTCAGACTCATGTCATGGTTCTGAATCTAATCCTGCAAAGTGTAGTGCAAGACTGATAAATTACCAAAGAGTCCAAATTCGGGAAATTGTTTTGGAAAATCGATTTTAATAAAAAAGTGCCAAACATGGACTGCTTTGCCAGATATAGAGTCGCCACCTAAATGTTTTATTTTGGAAAATTTTGAAAACCTTGACTCGTGCCTAAGGCCACGTGTCCGTCATCACCAAAGTTGCCTCAGCTAAGGAACTTGGGTACGAGAGGCGAAGGTCATACAATGAGCACCCCCGCTCGCCCGATCAAAGATCGGCCTTTACTAACATGATATTTTGTTTTTGAAAACACATATGTTCTTATTCCGATTATTAATCTAGAATTACTATGTGATGCGCATAACATACAAGTATAGACTAGATCGCCTAAGTTGGAACAAAACATCTTTGAAAGTTTGCTACTCCCAAGTAGTCTAAGTCGTGGATTTTGCCACCCTCAAGTGGGCTTAGAAAAACAACATGATTTTGATGAATTGTTTCAATTCAAGCAATCCAACCTTCATCCACAGGCATTCAAGCAGTTAAACACTTAACAGTTAGCCTCATGGCAAGCATGCTAACATGGCAACATACACATCTCATGCAGTATGCTAAAGCGTAAACACTCACAGTGTACTCCGAGCCAAAACAAAGAACTAGTTTGAAATCATGTATGATCCTAGTTCATGTTAAGATGGCTAATGCAACATATGCAAAAATGCAACTAAGATAGGCTCAGCTATTCTAAGATGGCATATGAAATGCAACAATTGATACATGTATTCAAATTGGTATTGAAACACAATGCAATTTGTATGATGCACCAAGCCCGGTGCATGCAAAACAGATGAATGATGCACGCATGTGAAGCATAAGAATGCTAATCGAAATATGCCCTAAAACTAACCATCGTAAGCGGTTTAAGTAAAAGGGAGAAAGAAATGGGGGTTAGAAGACATGCATCGCACACAGGCACGCTTATTACAACAGTTGGCCCTCTCAACGGAGGGTCCGAATAAGAAGCTAACTAGCTAATCTAAGCTAATTAAACTAATTATTACATCACAAAATTAATTAACTAACAAGCTAACTAATTAAGTTATTACAACACAAATAAGTAGCTAAACGCATTAACTACTTAAATACAGAACCAAAGCATAAACTAGCTAAGCAAATTAACTAAGTAAAGCAATAAAGAAATGTTCTCAGAGCGAGAAGCGCATGCATGCTCGGTCGCCTCGTTCGAAAATCCAATGTGATGTCCCGATTTGCCTCTGTTTGCAACTGTTCTTAGAACCTTGCACAAAGCTCCAGAAAGCGTCTAACTCACCTTGGGGACCTGTAGGAGCATGGCCGACCACCTAGGGGTGTTGCCAGCCACTTGCCAACCACTTATCTTTGTTGCAGACCAGAAAAAGTGGTCAGCCAACTTGTTTTCCTGGTCGGTCGACCAGTTTTTGCTGCACTTCTCTAGTTTGCTACAACAGAGAACAAGAAGGGGCATGGCATTGTATTTGCAATGTATGTGTGCACAACCACCCTCCCTATCATTTCATAAGCTCAAGGGAGTGCGGTTCTTGACCCTCGGGCCACCAATCACGTATCTCGATGCATGATTGCCGAGAAGTCAAATTGCACAATTCAATGTAAAATGAATGCACACATAACACACAAATGCCTTAAACTTTATCATGTATGATCAAGAGCATCGACGACCAAGAAATGAGGCACGTTTCACCACTTCAAGTATGAAACGTCCCTTATTTCTCGTGTTTGAACTAACACCCAATCCAAACACAATGAAAACAATAACATGCATAACACAATGAAATGTAACATGGCATACACAATGTAATCAGCAACATGGCATACACAATGCAAAGAATAACATGGCATTCACAATGCAATGTAACAACATGGTATACACAATGGAATGTAACATAAGCATGCAAGCAACAATATGGCATACACAATGCTAAGAACAACATGGCATACTCAATGCAATGTGACATAAGCATGCAAACAACATGGCATACACAATGCTAAGAACAACATGGCATACTTAATTCAATGTGACATAAGCATGCAAACAGCATGGCATACACAATGCTAAATGGACTTAAACCGAATGTGGACAGACCTCAGCCTAAAAGCACAACTCTCAAGGGCACTCAAGAAGTGACAAATGTGGAAGTGTAACAACACTATATGCACTGAAATAAGGTATAAAATGATGCCAAATCATTCAAACAACACAAGCAAAGCATGCTATGGTCCTTAAAGCATGAAGCTAGTAAAGAGGACTACAAAAGGGGCATGCAATACATGGCACAAATGCATGAACCATCATGGACAGAGCTCAACTAGGTCTAAACAAAGACCAAAACATGCTGAGATGGGAGCTCAAGGACCTATGCAAGATGGCATCCATGCTAGGCCACAAACAAGACAACAATGCATAACACTCAAAGGCACTTAAATGTCATGTTAAATAATGCCAAATCATGCACATGATACAAATGAAGCATGCTATGGTGCCCAAAGCTTGAAACTAGCATAAGCACTTGCACTATAGCTATACAAAACATGAAGCATATGGCTAAGGCAACCCAAAACAGTCCTAGAGCATGTCAAAATGATGCTAAAACATGTATGGAAGGAAGCCAAAATAAGCTAGCATGGTGAGCATGAAGCATGAAATATGCAAGGCCAAAAGGGAGGATTACACTACACCTACCAAGACCTTAAGCATGCTAAAACATGAACAAAAGCTTCTTAGAGTTAAGCCAAAATCATGCTAGAATGATGGCCTAAAGCATTATACACATTAGGTTAGTGAATGGAAATGCACTACAAGTGCAAGGAGCATGCAAGTGGCTATCAAACCAAACCTTAATAGAGGTATATCATGGAAAAAAAACACCAAGAACATGCTGAGATGGACTCAAAACAAGCTAGAAAGACATGCTACTTCATGAAGCACACAAAGCTAGTTTGTAAGATTTACACTATAAGTGTATAAGGCATGCTCGGGATGACAAAACCAAATCAAAACAGTGGTATGCCATATCAAAATAACCCCAAATACATGCTAGATGGAGCCAACATAAGCTTAACAAACATGCTCAAACATGAGGCATTCAAAGCAAGCATATAAGATACAAGGAGCGGGGATAACCCTCTCCTATTTGGGACCTCAAAACCACCTTTCCACCACTGAAAATCCTCTTGATTTCAGTGGTGAGAAGGCTAAAAAAAGGTGTTCCCAATAGCTTAAAAGGATGGTTCAAAACAAGGCCTAACAAGGCACAAGAGGGGGTAGACCACCCCCAACACAAAAGAGACCTGAAACAAACATGTTAAGCATGCAAAATCAGA